TTTTTTTTTTTTTTCGGAGGGGGGGTATCCTGCGGGATTTGGTCATTATGGCAACGCCCGAGAGTTTCGGTCGCTTCAGGGCAAGTCCTGTGCCTTTGGTAGAGCTTTTCTCCTTCCTCTTCTCTCCCCTCGCCCCCTTCGCCTTCACAGCCCGAAAATGCTGGACACCATCAGCAGCCAGTACGACTCCTTCATCTACTGGAGGATGCCGATCCCGCGGCTGGACGTGGCGGAGCTGGAGGGGCTGGGGCTCAGCGACGTGGCCCTCTACAAACCCAAAGGAGGGCTGGGCAAGCTGGCCGGCCAGCGGGATCGGGTCAGCCAGGACATCTCTGACGAAGAGGACGGTCTGCTGCAGTTCAACAGCTTTAATTTCTGGAGAGCTCCCATCGCCAGCATTAGCTCGTTAGATTTCGATCTAATTTGAAGCCTCCCTTTCTGTCCTCCTCACACCTCCCCCATGCTCTCCCTCTCTGCTAGGCATGTGAGGATTTGGTTTTGTTGCCCGTTTGGAGGTTGTTTGCGGTTTTTTTTGTTTCCAGGCTGTTTTTGACATAATTAATTAACTCAGCAGTTCACCCCAGCCCTGGTGGCGACGGACTCCCCACAAAGCTTCAACCTCTCTCCCCCTTCTCCCTGTTTTCTTCCCCTCTCGCAGTCGCTCTGGAAACACCACGACAGTGGGATAATGGCGCTGGGGGCAAATACGAGGGGAGGGGGCAGAAACAGCCACCCCATTACCCCAGGTCCACGTGCCAGCGGGTGCAGGAGGTGCCGGGGGGTTCTGCCACCACCCCACACCCTGCGGCTGCGTGCCCGTGGGAGTCCCCCTGCTCTGGGGCGAGCGTTTGAGCTCATTTCTCCCGTGCTTTTTTAAGAAACTCATTTGTGCAAAGGGAGCGGCGCAGGGCTGATGGGAATCGTCTTCGTTTTGCAGAAAGCATCGTCCCCGCTCCTCTCCCAGGGACGCAGAGACCCTCTGCGCTCCCCTGGCCTAGTTTCTCCAAAAACCGCTTCGCTCCTTAACCTTCCCCTCGGGATAATCTGGGTGGAAGAGGCAGGGATGTGCCCAGGACATGAGCACAAACCTCCCTCTTGAAAGAAATCATCTCCTTGCGTCTTGTGGCTTCAACCCAAGCAGGAGATGGTCAGGAGGGTAAATACATATGGAAATGCTCCAGCCTTCCTTGATGGGGTCAAGGCTCGATGCTCACTGCCCAAAATTTGATTTTTTCCCCCTTTTTATCCCCCATGTACTTTATCCCAGGTGTGACACCCAGCTGGGACAGAGGCCGGGCACATCGTGGTGTCTGGATGGGTACCAGGGGCTGAGCTGAAAGATAAGATGGAGAATTTAGTTTGACCTTACCCCGAAATCAAAATGTTTCTCATTCCCCACCCAATGAATCAACCCCTTTAAAAATAACAACCAAAAAAATGCTGCATTCCCTCAAGTGGAAGCCATGCGTTTTCCTTGGGGAGGTTTTCACCTGTGCTCTCCGTGGGCTGAGGTTTATTTCTGAGCATCATCTCAAAACAGGGGGGAAAAAAAACCCAAACCCTGACCCTGAATCATTTTTGGCTTTTAAGCATTTTTTTTTCCCCCCGAGATTGTTCTTTGGGAGAGTGAACACAACTGTTTTGTCTTCTTGAATGTGCTTTTTTTGGGTTTAATTGGGGTGAAGTTGTGATGTGGAGCTTCCCAAAACTGTCTTAAGAGCTGGGGGGGTACGTGGCTGGGGGGAGGCTGCGGCAGCACTTAAAAGGTGCCCAAAAATAGGCAAATATTGGGAAAAAAACCTGCACTCTCATATGAAAAGGGAGCGCAGTTCTCCTGTAACCTCCAAAAATGACCCAGGCTGCTGACTTTGAACCACCCATGTTAAACCAGAGGTGAAAAATGTAAACTCTCCTATGCAGAGCTGTTTGATTTTTTATGTTCCCAGCTGGGAAAACCCGCAGAAGTATTTATGAAACTTGAAATAAAATGATTTAAAAACATACACATTCCTGTGGACACTTTAAAAAAAAAAAATCCACGTAGAGCGGCATCAAGTTCTTTCCATGATTTGCCATTAAATTGTTTTAAATCTTTTCACGGTGAGCTGAGAACTGATGTGAGAATACGTACCCACATGCCTTTGCAAACGCTGTGGAGGATTTAAATGTGGAAAAACTAAGCCTAAGGGATTATTTTAAGAACATTAAGGATATTATTTAAACTTCAGCTTTTCCAAACGAGGAACCCCAGAGAAGAGGCCCCAGGGTTTCACATTTACCTCAGTACAGGCCCTTTGAGTGCATCAAGAGACCGGAGGGGGTAACGCACCAGAGGGAGGTTTAGACACCCTGAGGGGAGCCCGATCCTAGACAGGATGGCACTCAAAGGAGACAGAGACGCACAAACTACTTCCAGACACACATGTATATAATATATATTTATAGACACAGACAAAACACAGCAATGACAGCCCTACGAGGCGTGAGGACCAACCCCACCGACTCAGGGAAGCGCCGCCGCCCTTTATACTTGGCGCCTAAACGCCTCTGCCGGAACTAAACTGCCCGGGCGCATCCCCCCCATCCGCGTCTGGCGCTACCAATCGACTCTGCCTGCTATCCTTCCGCTAGAGAAAATACTCCCTTTTTAGGGCTCCCCCGTTGCTCGCTGCCCTCCTCCAGGCCCCTGGGCGGGGA